GGGAAGGATTCATTGTAGTCCGCTCCACACTGAATGCATGGAACCGGTCTTTGAGCCTAGCACGGCCACAAGGACCGTGCACCCCGTCCCCTCCAGCAACGACCAGCTGTCTGCTGGAGCCAGTATGGAGGAGGTAGTGGGTAATAGACAGGTAGGCACCTTGTCAACATGCACATCAAGCGCAGCCACACCGGGGATATCAAGCAACAGCCAATCACCTTGAAACGACAAGATGAAATAAAACAAATCCAATAATGCATACAGATACGGTAACATAACGCTTCGTTAAATTAGCATATGAAGTAAGTTGGTTAGCAACGAATCCGCGATAAGGAAAAAATGTCCACAAGTTAGTTAAAAATGCTACAAAACGCAACAAAGTTACAGAAGAAAAGCGCAATTAATGTAAGCAACGTGGCCAGTTAATAGATTATTATTCTGGGAGGCAGAACAAACCAACTAAAGTGGAATATGACGGCATAGATACTCGCTTAATGAGCATATGGAAGAAATTGATTGTAAGTGAATCCGTGATAAGTACAAAATGTCCGAGTTATTTAAAAAATACCACGCGATACAATTACGCAATTTTACCACAATTTCCATGAGCGACGTGTGCAAGTTGGGAGAAGATTACCAAGTACGCAGAGCAAACCAAATAAAATGTAACGTTGCATTATATATATATATATATATATATATATATATATATATAGTGTCACAATGCGTGGAAAATACAATAAATATACGAAGATAGAAGGATAAAATCCCGTGTTCATGGGAATGGTGAGTCACATTAAGTCCCCCATTGTGCACGATTTCTTGCCATATCGGAGAGTGTTCTCAGCCTAGTGTGTTCCGGATCCTTCACACTCCAGCCAGGGAGCCGAGAGCGCTCGATCATGGATAATTTTGACGTTAGCTCCTTCATGCTCCTGGCCCAAGTCATACGTTGGCAACCTTGCGTTCGCTTCCAGTCGAGTTCTGCGTGCGCGAAGTGGACACGGCGAACCAAGCGATGAGTAGGCATGTAGAGAACATGCCCAAGCCAGTGAAGTCTGCACAGAGAAATTATACTGCTCAGTAGCCTGCAAAGTCTGTCTGATATGAAAATCCCTCGTCGAATATCTTCATGCCATCGTACACCAGCAACGCTCCGAAGGCAGCGGTGCTCAAACACAGACAGCCTCTTAACATCCTTTGTGCGAACAGACCGTCTCGCAGCCATAGAGGAGAACCGCTCTCACTGTGGTATTGTAAACTCGGCCCTTCAGAGATAGACTCTAGATCACAGATGGCGGAGATTGGCCAAGGCAACCCGAGCCTTGGAGACGCGCAAAGATACCTCATCTGTTAAACCATTAGCGCTGAGGCAGCTTTCGAGGTAAACGAACTTGTCCACCACTTCCAATGAGTGAGCTAGAAGGGTAAGGTTAGGAGCAGCGCCTAGCCAGTCCTGCAGGAAAACTTTGCATTTCGATGGTGCGAAGATTATTCCAAACTGGGAGACAGACATCTCCAACCTACACTAGACAGTTTGGGTGGCGTGTGAAGAAGCGCAGATTACCGCGATGCCGTCTGCATACTCCAAATCCCGAAGTCGGCCCTCCGGAAGCAGCTCCACGCCGCTGGGTTCGCAGTTCTTCAGAGCACTTTGCCAAATGATGTCCGCACACAGTTTACTTTGTGGCATTTCGGGTGGTTACTGTTAAAGTTCAGAATTTGGTCCGTATATGTACATCTGCTGTAAACTGATGTTTGCAGCCTCCCTTCCATGGTTCTGGTTACTAATAAGTCCAGAAAAGACAGTTGGTTTTCATTCTCCATTTCTATCGTAAATCGGGTATCTTCAATGGCGTTGTTCAATAGCTGCTGTGCGACTGTAACTTGACTGCGTTTGATGATCACAAAAAGGTCGTCAACATATCAGACCCACAGTTTCGGATTAATGAGTGGGAGTACATCCAAATGCAATTTCTGCATTACCATCTGCGTGACGTGTCCTGCTAAAGGTGATCCCATTGGCGCGCCTTTTAATTGTTCATAGATCTTCCCGTTGAAAGAAGTAGGCTGACAGACACAACTGGAGTAGCTTGTATACATTTTCGGTCGTCATGTTCCCGATTAGTTGTTCACCGCTGTGCAGACGTCCTGTGATGACTGTTGTTGCCATTTGTAAGTAGAGTGCAAACACAATGCAGTACCGCGGAGGCAAAGCAACAAGAAGAGAAGCATCTATTTAAATGTTTCCAACCCAACGGATACCCGCGAAGTTTCATCCGAATATGTCTGAACCACAACAACGCAAACAAACAGTCTACACCAAAGACGGAGAGACGCGTTGTATTGCTTTATACGAAGAACATATCCGAAACGGTGGCAAGACTATTCAAACAGCATCACCTCATCGTAGCACACGAAGCAAGTGCAACGTTGAGGAAAACTCTGTCAAAAACGAAAGCAAAACTGGAAGCTCATGAGCAAGGTAATGTTGTAGACAGACTACGTTGTAGGAATACCGAAAGGACTACGTTGGTCAAACAAGTAGAAAATTAGCAACACGAATACTAGAGCACAAAAGAGCATGCAAAAGGCACTATTCATCGTCGCTAGTCTCAGCACACGTAGACGAAAAAGAACACAGCTTCGATTGAGTCAAAACAGAAGTCCTGGTAAGAGGCGAAACAAGGTGAGAAACGGACTTCTTGGAAGCGTGATTCTCAACAAAATACTCAATCAACATACATTTCGACATTGACCCAGTTTACCAGTCTCTCCGACGGAAAGAACTTGGAGAAATTACGAGTCACCACTTGAAGAGGAACAACCCAAGTGACGAGTTCAGCGCAAGGAAATGGGCAGAGATCACGGAACGCGGATCGAAGCGGTCACTTTCGAAGTCACCTGCACGCCGATAACGGATCAAGAATTCAACCAGCGAGAGTACATTCCACATCTCAACCATTGATGGTGCCATCTCGTATGGCGGTAAAACGTTTCCGAAAATACATACATACTGTCCAGCAACCGTAAACAACGCGGGTAATGCTGAACAGACACGCGCAATACGTGTCCCAACCACCGCAGTTGATGCAGTGAGACGAGCTCCTCGAGCGAGTGGCTTCCTCTTCCCAAGACACACTGTCTAACTTCCACATTGCTTACGTGGTGCTGCCACCACACACGGGCAATGGACCGCAGGTGGCAGTGCTCGAAGACGGATAGTCTGCGCAAGTCATCTTTAGGAACGGGCCAGGTCTCGCATCCGTACAACAGTACAGCAGGAACAATTGCACAATAGACCCGCCCTTTGATGGGGAGACACATGTCGTGGCGACGTCACAAGTGCCTCAACCTAGAATAAGCGAGACCTGCTCTCGAGATGAGCATCGAAATCTTGTCTCCAACAACGCCGCCAGCAGTGATGCAACTTCCCAATAGACAAATCTCTCCACAACTTCTAGTGTCTCACCACAAAGAGTGAGTGCAAGCAGAGGCACTTGACAGTCTTGGAAGAGATCCTTACAATTGCATTGCGAAAAGTACATACCATACTTTGATACTTCAGTCGCCAAGCGGTTTAGTGCAACTTGTACGACGTGTGGATCGTCACGCAGCAAGACGATATCATCAGCACAATCCAAATCAACAACTCGACTACCTGGGAGGAGCTCAAAGCCAGCGTTCAACGAATCGCCCAGAGCGTTCTTCAGGACATCCTCAATGGCAAAATTGAATAGGAACGGAAGATTTAGGTCACCTACTAGAACAAATTTCGGTGCAGCAACTGTCTCCCGCTTTAAGATGTTGCTGAGCTCATTGTCCTCCACTCTAGTAGAGGAAGGATTAGGGTACCCACAGACGAAGTTTTCCAACCTATCATCTACTCTCAAACAGTAAGAAACAGCCTGAACGTTCGACGTTATTATAGAAAAGGTAGCTTTTCACAGCTTTTGGTCATTTTTACGAGCAAAACCACCCCACTATCAACGTGTTGCCAGGGTCGATACACTCTAGGACTGGAGAAATCCAGCCGTAAGTCGCTAACTTGAAGGCCAGCTCGAAAAGCCATATGATGGACGTCTAAAGAGCTTGGGATTGTTTTCCACGGAACGGTGTAGCTTGAAAGGGGATCTGATAGAGCTGTTTCGGATCATGAAGCGCCTCAGTGGTATCAGGGCTACTGACCTGCTTGAGCCAGCTACATCAGATCATCTGAGCGGTCAGCATCTTAAGCACATGCATCTGGGGTCCGCGCCAGATATAAGCGGGAAATACTTTGTAAACCTTGTGGTTGGCAGTTGGAACCAAATTCCCCTTCGTTGTTGGACTGTACAACTGTTGACGCCTTCAAGCGGTTTGGAGAGACGTTGGTGAGGTTTATTTTCAGTAATACTGTAAACTTATTGATGCTCGTTGTTGAGAACTCATGAATGATGAACCTGCAAGATTGTTTCCATTTGCTTCGTTTTTTTCCAGAAGCAAGTAGTGTAATTGAAAGTCGAAGTACCAGGGGCCCTTCGTTGCTTGCCGGTGCATATAGCAGGACAGCCGTTAGACAGAAGCCCGTACCGTTCTGGGAACCTGACCTTACCTAGGGAATAATGTGCCCGAGAATATATCGTTGGAGCTACAGCTTTGTATGTCTTTAGTATATCTTCATTATTCAGTATCTGTTTGCAACAGTGGAGCTTGCTCATCCCCACTTTGTTCAATGGATAGCTGTTTTGGCAATACACTTGTTAGTAACCGTGTGCAATTCAATCCGAGTAACCAAGCTGACGTAGAATACACTCGCTTATGTATCTGTGCAAGTCAATGCTCCATTCTTCCATGGAATTACGCAAGAAGTCGCACTTGTGCATTACTGCTGATACCGAACAAACGCATGACAAGCACCCACGGTTCAACATTTTTTAAGCAAGTTCTCCAGTTTACGGTGGCGTACATAAGTGCAGCTTAGCGAGTTCATCCACTGAGTGTCGCAACTGCACGTGATCCAAATATCAGCTACTGAAATCGACCGAGGTTTTTGAAACGTACGCGTCCTAGAGGATCCGGGATAAGCAAAGTAATGACCTTAACTTTTCACTGTAAAGAGATGCCCTGAACTATGGTCAGGTGGATATGGTCCTAGGCAATGCATTACGATCAGGGGTGGACATTCAGTCTATTTCGAAGGACAAGTACGTGCTGCGACGAAAGACTCACGTGGGAACCCAATATATTAAAGTTCCATTCTCACCCTTCACCGACGAACAGGAATCTTCAAATGTACTCTGGTCAACAGTTGAGGGACCCGTGCAACATGGGAAGCCACTCAGTCGGTCACGTTCAGTATGTATTCGTTCCAAAACTTCTCCTCCCAATAACTCATTGATCAGACATAGTTGGCGTGATGTGGACCGTTCGATACCAAATTACACTCGCTCGCCCTTCAGGAAAAGATGGATTCGGAGCGCTGTTAAAAATGAAGCTTCTATTTCCGAAGCCCAAAAGCATGTAGTTACGCAAGTGGGAAGCAAATCGGTTATATCCACCACTTCGCCTGATTTGGGGGCTACTGCCTATCAAGCAGCATCCACTAAACAAACCCTTCAAAGTAACGCAACAGCTGCTCCATCTGGAGCGGACTTTGTCAACCGAGCTGGAAAGTGCGAGGATAAACGCAAGTGGAGAAGTTTTTCTAGGCTGAAAACTGTCTTATTCCCATCTGGGTTACGTGCACAGGCAACGGACGGTGTAGTGCGTGCGGTGAACACTCCGGTTCCGAGCAAGCCTGTAACCAACGCCTGCTCGCCTCATGGGTGTCCAACAAATCTCTCCTTTCAAACCAGTCATCGGACTAGTTCCAACCTTAGCTGGTGGTCCAAGAAGGACAAGAGCAACAAGCCGCCATGGTTTCCTGCTGGTATGGGTGGAACGACCAGTCATCATAAACAATTCAGATCACTAGCTGATAGGTTAAAAATTTCCAACATACTCCACAAAGTGGCTACCCAGAGACTTGCCGAATCGCCACGGATTATTAAAGAGTCACCTCACGGTGCACTTATGAAGGGGGGGCTGGAGAGCTTACCGACATCCTTTTCTTCGCGCATCCGCCCGGCCGGTTCTTGCCCCGCCCCCTGGGGTAATCCCAGGGGGAAGCGGGAGAGCAATTCTTGCCTCATGGGAGGGACACGTGATCCTGAGATTATCGAACATCAGCAGTCGTCTAATGCAGCCTTGAAATGGAAAACCTCTCAGTTGGTTTCAGCCAAAAATGCTTGTGTCACTCGGTGTCCCCAGAGGGGACCTAGAAGTGATAAGGGTATCCCGAAAACGTTAATTGGGCGTACATTGTCTATGACGAAGATAACGAAAAAGAAGGCTTCCACTCCCCCATCTTCGCATGCAATTACTGGTTACAAAGACAGCGAAGACCTACGTTACAGGCGCAGTGGCATCCGATCAGTTAGCTCTACCGGGAGATATAGGATGCAACGAACCAATTCCGAGGGGGTTGTTGCGAAATCCACATCGACAAACGAGGCGATTAAAGAACTGCTGGATTCAACCGGTTCTTTTCTGCCTAATTCATCAGAAATGTTAATCACTCTGAAGCCACAACCAGCAGTTGAGACGCGAGTAACAATCAAAAAAGATAAACTCACATCAGACACCGACCGGGCCTCTTCAGCATTGGGATTTAACGCAAATGGCTCTTCAAGTATACCTAGAGCACCTAACTCTGCGTCTCCGAAAAAACTGGAGACGAGCCCTCCAATACAGCCTTCCATTTTCCTTGCTCCAACACAGGAACCGTTTGGGGACTGGAATGCGTCCACCACCTCTACTAGTCAAGCAGCTTCGGCCGGTCCAGTAACCTATGCCTCATTATGGGACAGAACTGCCGATGGTGATGTTGCATCTGATGTCATAAGTTCCACCTGCATGGGATCTTCCCTAGCTACCGTCCCAGGATTACCCGGAGGTCCCAGAGAGGCTGATGGAAGGTTGCATCGAAGATGTTCCCAGGGACGAACCTCTGGCTCCGAGGAAACACTAGTTTTGGTAACAGATGCTCTGGATCTATCCGATAACGCACATTCCAGTATGGCCAGCAAACTTAACTCCATAATTTATGCAGAGGAGTTGAGCTTAACTACTGCTTGTAAAGCTGGCAATGAACTAGAAGCGTGTGAACATAGTAAAGCGAGCACTTGGAGCCCCATGGTTGAAAAGGAGACCAGCCACATTGATAGTCCTCAGCTTGTAACTACTTTCAGAGATGATAGCCCCTTCTTCCTGCTAAGCGAAGGAGACTGTGATTTGTCGCATCGCTATACTTCCGCAGATGCGGACCTCGTGCGCCACTGTGTCACAGAACTGGTATATAATGAAGTAAGACCACCTAGCACGAGATCTGTACAGACATACGTAGATGTACCGAGTACTGGAAGAAAGTCGGATGGGGCGAAAATGGCTAGCGTGCCTAAAACAGAAGAACGCTATGCAGCCAATTGCAACAGGAACCAGAAGAAGTTCCTCAGGAAGCTCAAATGGCCTGTGCGAAATTTGTCCGCTATGAAGAAAAACGGGACAATGTAACGCTCACGAATTTATGCCATTCACAATGGGGAACATATAATATTAGCGGACTGTACAGTTCACACAGGTTCTTCGTGTTTGTGCTCTTCATGTAATGTGCCTTCGCTGGCTACAATGGGAAGCATTCCATGAGCTTGCGTTCAACGAAACATGAAAAATAGTGGGATATAGTTACAATGATCGCTAGTCAATTATGACGAAAATAAGCATTTATGTTTGCAGCAGTCTACGGATAGACCTAGAGCTACAGTTGTCGTAAACAGAAAAAGGCACACAACTCAGGGAAATTCGTGGCTTCGAGAATAATTAGTGGTTGTTAACCTATACTCTTCCTTCTCATCATCAGCAGCAGCAACAGTACACCAGCAGTCTGAACAACTACTACAATGCCATTTACTAAGGCTGATTTAGAGAAAGAGAAATTAATGGGTGAGAAAGAAGGAGGACCTAGTTTAAAACACAAACCCTCCAAACAGGCGTCTAATAGTAAGGTGCTGTATTCGACTACAGATATTCTTCAGACTACTCCAAACTTGAAAATGCTAGTCAGATGGGCACTTTCTGAACAATCACTACCGTGTCTGCCGTGATCAACATCCTAATAAATTCAGCCCAATATATTAAGCGAATATTAGGTCACATTTGAGTCACCTAACCACCATACGTAATCTACAATGCTGAAAGCCAAATTCTGAGCAGCCTCAGGTTATTCGCTGCTTTAGAAGAGGGTAGTTATACGTTGCTTGCTAACAAGGTGCTTCTATTCTGATTCTTGATACGTCTAGGCTTGTGTCAATTGATGGGCACCCATGTTGGTGGCAGTTCGTAATAATACGGGTGTATATTTTGTTAAGAACTAAACAACTGGTTGTGTGAACTTTTTTGGCTTCTTTTACAGTCTATGAAGGATAATCAGGTTCCTTAAGCTTTATCAAGACTATAATGATATGTTGGCAAAGGTCTACTAAATGTCTTGATTGCCAGTTTGTGTCAACCGACGTAGTTATTCCAAATCTGGTTACTGAAAGTCGCCCTGAAAGCTGTACGAAAGACCTGTGTTTGGTTTTAGTACTACTACTAATACTAATAGTAATAATAATAATGTGTCGGCTATACGCCTTAACGGCGCTTCGATACCGCGCGACCACCACCAGTCGCGAATGGGCTGAGCATACCGCGAGGAGGCCAGCCCCTACGCGGATTCGAACCGGTGACCTTATGATTGAAAGCCAGGCGTGCGTACCACTCGGACACCGGACGACTCGGTTTCAACTAGATACCATATCACCGTTCCATCATGAAAACGCCACTAACCTTACGGAGTTGTTGTCAAGACAGCCGTCCCAGACCTGCAAGCTTCTTCGTATTGGCTGATTGTGCATGCTTGTGGCAATACTCAGCTGTGAAAGGCTTGCCTGTGAAGAGTTTCTAGCCTAAAGCTTTTGCACCAGGCCTTTTGGGGCGGTATACGAGTACATAGCGACCTCTTCTTTGAGATCTCCACTACAGCTGGAGTACTCAGGGTTACCATTTATCTCCATTTCTCCTTAATTATTTTCTCTAAAGATCCATGCACAGCGGTCCTGTCTTCTTCCAGCTCTGTGATAAAGGTGCTATTAAACGACCGACTGTCATGTTTGGGAGTAAGTGGACTACTTACCTTCCCATGGACCGGACAAGCTGTTTTGTAAGATTCGATAGGTTGGCTGTGAGCTCCATAGGTGCTCTGCAATTCCAGAATGTAAAGTCTTGCCACAGGACTGGATCGGCCTGCTACCAAAGTTCATTGCCTTGGAAAGACTACTTGAGATCGCCGGTAAGTTTGCTTGTGTAGCTTTTCAACGCCGATGACAGGAGATTACCGCGCGTGTGGATAAGGTTCAAGTGGCATTTCAAAACCGAAATCACATATGAAGACGGCTTGATGTGAGCATACAAATTAAGGGGAAGGTTTGCAACGACGCTGTATGGATTACGGACGTTTCCACCACGCGCTGAAGACATCGACGGACTGGCTGTGTCCGAACACTGAGGTCTGCACATTGATGCCCCTGTAGTACGGAGATACTAATGAGTGACGTTTCTCTCCATCGTATGTTTTTCGGTAACAGCTTCTTCGGTGCTCTATGTGATCGAACTGTCTACTTTGACTAGATCGTGTCTTCTGCACGCTTGCTACCTGACTGCATTGGTATATCGGTTGCCAATACTGGGCCCAATGGGCGAGACCGCGAAGTAGTCAGCAAAGGAGCATTAAGTATGGTTGGTGTTTGTCAGTTAACAGCTGTTTAGGCACTTCATTGGATGTGGCGTGATCACCGGGTAATTGGCGCCCTTACTTTGTGCCCTGATTTCTGACGCTCAACTACATCAACCGGTCTTATTTCGCGCCTATCAGTAGTACAAAAATATTAGTAGCAATAGCAGTATTTATTTTATAGCGTAAGTCACGGATAATGGATTCACCTCATGTCATTACACGGATCTTAGTCGATAAACTGAACTCATCTGCAACTGGTTCAGCAAAGCAATGGAAAACTCGAAACCACTTACCTGTATTTCGAGTAGCTGAATGCCGTGTTGCCTGTGAGATCGGCAAATCGAAAAGGCGATTTGCCGACGCCGTTGCGATAGGATAAATCATTCCAGCTTTATGTGTCCAAAAGAAATTCGTTGTCAGCGTAAGGTTGCCGTGGTCCTTATGCCAAAAAAGTGACCACAATCATAAATTTCATTTGCTTGATTGTGCCTATATGACTTATAAAAAGCTTTCCTTGTTATTATATTGGTATTGACGAGACAATAAGAAATGCTAGCATCTGCCAATATTCATCTTCTCAGTTCGTTGTTTAAACTACTGAAGGAAACTAATTGTTGTAAACTTCTCAGAAGACAGGAATGTTTGCGTTTGAAAAACCCTATTGTGTAGATGATAGCACCGTTACTAGCGATTGAAAATATACTGCATCATGAAGATTGCTCAGTGATCCTACCCAAATTGGTGAGAATGTATATAATTGATTGCAGTTAAAAGTCTGGTTTGAATGTTCCATTTCTGCTACCATAGCAGGCAACTATAGGTGTAGAAACAAAACATTCGCATAATACGGTATACAGGTCTAAGTGTTTAAAGGACGTGTTAAGGCGAGTCACCTACCAGGCAAGATAGATTTTGACACAGGAGTGGGAGGCTGTTACGCAGGGGTGGCCTTGTCTTCACGTGATATCCTGGTGTTTGTGAACTTCTCTGGTTCGGACAATTTACTCGTTCGTATTCTGAATGGGTAGGCACGACAGCTGTCTCATATTCACCTCCCCTTCTCCTCTCATCATTCTTCATCGCCTGAGTGATTGTGGCTATATGGGAGCAGCGTTCAGTCAAAGTACTAGGGTATTACTGATAATTACAACAATGATAAGATGAGTGAATTGCAAGATAAAATACTTCTGAGTTGCATCATCGTCGCGGCGAAAGCACAACGCACAGTTTAGTCGTAGCTGCAAACCTTGCATGAGACACAGTGAGGTGGCTGACTTGTTATGTAGACTGTGGGGACAAAATTCACACTGTCTTCCGGTTGCATGAAGCTGCTCAGAAGACTAGCTCGTTGTCTTTAGCAGAAAATGACCAACATCAGGATGCGTTGCGCATTTATAATAATTAGGTGAAACCAGGCATGACAAGGTCGGGGGCCAAATAATTTGCTTAGCTACATCTTAGCGTCTACTTACATTCGATAGGGAAATCGTTGCTCTACCCAACCTCCCAGTCGTCTTAATGTGATACTATTCCTGCTTAGTTAAGTGCGTGCCGAGTGTGGAATTTAAGTGAGGCGTATTGTTAGTCTATGGTCAATCCAAAACGATGGATACCTGAGAACACTTTGACTGCTTTGCCACACGTATTTGCCTACTTCAAACACAATCTGGTCGACGTTTCTCAGATAAGCAAGCCGCCAATGTCAGAGTACCACTTTATTATGGGTATTGCATTTAAACTGTTCCTAACGAGTTTTGGTAGCAAATGATGTGCTAAGTAGAAAGTTTAAAAGTAATACTTCTAAGATTCTTTATGTTGAGGAGTTGATAGATGGCCGCTGGGTGCCAGTTGCACTTTCCAAACGAAGCATTAATGCCTCTTACCGGTCAAATCGTATTTAGGCCTACGGTACATAGGTCATTTAATTGCGCCCCACAAAGATTGAACAATGAACAATGATTTATCACGGGATAAAAGCAAGTGCTTGACACGTCCCGTAGGATGGTAGCGGTGAATATGAATATGATGCAATTAAAATATGTCTGGGTCATCTATCGAACGTCTGCCGAGATGAATACTTTGATAATTAACATCAGTGTAAAATGAAAAATAAATATCGCGCGTAAACATTCAGAAAGACACTGGGGCGCAGTGATAGTTGAGGTAAGGAGTGAGAAAATGAAATATGGTCGCTCACTTAGGTCCATTTGATATATTAGTCCTGTTGAAAACATGCCTGGCGTAATCCACAACAGAGGAACTTAGGTAACAAAATGTTGGGAGCTGAGAGCAACATCTAATCGTTCTTTGAAAACATCCAAGGTTGGAGAGGATACAACTGAGTCTGGGAGTGCGTTCCATGGTTTGCAAACCCGAAGGGAAAAGTAATTCCGTCGACACTCTAGACGGCTATATTGTTCCTTCAACTTTAAGCAGTTACCCCTGAGCTGCGTGTTGTGGCTAAGTTTCAGCAAATGGCGGCATACATGGTTGGGGTCACTCAATATCTGATACGCTAATATGAGATCGCCGCGCAGCCTTCGATAACGTCCGCTGAAAATTCCCAGCAACTTCAGCCTTCGGTGGTAAGAGTGACACCGCAGGCCCTTCACGTTCTTTGTTGCTCTCCGTTGTGGTGCCTCTATCGCTTCTAGGTCGCGTTTCAACCAAGGTTGCCAAGCTTGGATTGCGTACTCAACTTGCGGGCGCACGTAGGAATTGAGCATCATTGGGAAGATTGATGGGTCAAATCTCCCGAATGCCCTTCGCAGCATGCCGACGTGCTGGTTGCCTCTTTTGGCAGCTACCTCAGCCTGTTTTGAACAGCTGAGGTCGCTCTGTACGATCACACCAAGATCACGTTCCTGGGAGCTATTCTGCAATTCCTTTGTCCCAAGTATGTAGGTGTAGTTATGTCTATGGCGTAATTGTACTACGCGACATTTGTCTACGTTGAACGGTAGAGCGTTTTGAACTGACCAGTTCGACACTGTGTTAAGATCGTGCTGGAGCCGTTCATGGTCTTCCGGTCCTCTGATCCTTCGCCATATCTTGATATCATCAGCGAAAAATAAGAAATCGGAAGTAATTGATCTCGCCAAATCGTTAATGAACACCAAGAATAGACGTGGTCCAAGAACCGAGCCTTGTGGTACTCCACACGTCACGTCGATTGCATGAGAAAATGATTCTCGGACTCTCACCACTAGCCGTCGTTCTTGTAGAAAATTGCTAATCCAACTCAGGATTGGATCGCCAATACCGTAGTTCCGAAGTTTCTGAAGGAGAACTCGATGGTCTAAACGATCAAACGCTTTTGATAAGTCCAGGTAGATGACATCGACTCCAACTCCATCATCAACAGCTTCAGTCCAGCTATTACGTGCAATTAATAGGTTAGTGTTACACGAATGCTTTTGACGAAAGCCATGTTGCTCTGGGGCTATTAAATTGTGGCTTTCCAAGTATTGCATCAGCGCGTCTGCGACGATTGATTCCATCACTTTGGATAGTACGGGAAGTAGTGTTATTGGACGGAACAGAATCGGAGGACGCAACTCGGAGAAGGAGTACATTTGCTAATGGGACGGACGAAGCAGATGAAGGTTTTAGTGAACATACGATTATTTCTGGTTGCTGACTTCCACCTCCCAGTTGACGTATGCTCCCAGGTTGCAGCTTATTAAACCCAGTGACTCTACACCTGTCAACGCACAGTGGACATCGTGCCTATGTTGCAAGCAATTATGACAGGGTTCAACATTTAGTAAAAATATCGAAGATAACGGGTATTTGGAAAGCTTAATACACTGCAGTTCCTTGTGTATGTTGCTGCAGAATCAGGAGCGCACATCACTTAACAGTGAACATATGTAGCTTTACTCATTGGCCCCCCCGTTTCGGAAAGATAGGCTTGAATGGTTATTGTAGAGTACGAGCTTCGCGTCAGATTTGAGAATGAAGAATTTAACCTTGATAAACCTTGTTAGCCGCCAACATCTTGGCAAGCGATAAACCGCCGTTTCCAATTTCGCGAGGTACAATCAGCGTAAATTAATCGAGACAGAGTTAGTCCCAGTACCACCTAGTACAACTGGTGCCAGGATGTCTCTCAAGAATTAGTACCAAGCTGCAGTTGCTGCATTCCAAAAGTTTTGAACCCACCTTGAAGTGAGCGACTTGCATGAGGAACCAATGCTGGGGCTGGTAGAGTTCGACACAAAAGATAATCGGTTGATAGTTTGCCGTATGAACAAAGGAAGTGTTCAGAAGTTCTTTCCTGTTTCTGTTCTGACACAAGTTGATTCCTAAGTATAACAGTGTCATCAGCAAATAATAGCGAATAAGGTTGCCGGATAGAATAGGGCAAATTCAGCAAGAACATGCTTTATTATAAATTGCAAATACATCCGCAATATGGGTCCACCCAACCGCAAAAGAGGGAAAGCTTTACAATTGTTGGTAGGAGCAAAAAACTTGGTGTCAACTGACCTAATGAACAATCAGTCAGAGAAACAGAAGCTGCTTACCCACGATGCTTTGGAAGAATAAAGATCGAAGCAGTGGATTTGTAAGTAAGCTCGAAAAGTGTCCGCGTTGCTATCATATCTACCGATTTTCTGCTGCTAACCACGTGTAGCGTGTGTATATCCTCCATCTCGATGGCTTCATGACAAACCAGGGTTCACCAGAGACAGTACTAAATCGGTACTATCCCTAACAGCACCACTGGACACTCAGGATTCCAGGACTGGACTCGCAATGGACGGCAGTTCTTTCTGCATAAATAAGCTCTGACAAAGAATAAAAAGGCTATCCTTTTATACATTATGGTGCATATTCTCTACTTCAGTTACTGATATTGCGTTTTCATGTCGCATGGTTTGTGCAAATATGACAACTTGCATTTCACACTTCATGGTTTCACAATCGTTACGTAAGCGCAAACTAACGCAAGTTGAGTATTGGCACGTTTGCAACATGGAATGCATAGTTGCTTGAATGCGCACTAGTTTACCGACATTGCAAAACCGCTTCGCTGCGTATTGTTTCTGCGTGTCTTTTGCGTCCAAAAAGTTTTACTCGGGACTCCGATATTACTCTAAACGGACGCCCATAGGACACTCAAAGGACGCACGTGCCAGCAGGGATGTTTATGCAACTTAGCTAGGGTGAGTACTATGTAAGAAAGCTGGCTCTGGAGACCTGGTTTCATTTCTCTGTCTGTCGCTAGGGCACCAAAACACCTGACTTCCCAGTAATAGAGGAGTACACGAGCCAGTGCAAACGGTTGTTGGAAAGCATTGCATCTGACCACCACAAGCAATCACTGCGGAACCGAAGACCCTCAAACCGCACAATGAGGAGCTATGATGTATAGGTTCAGCTGCCTAGATTGCAAACACAGTCACCAGGTTCCTGGACGTCCCTGCAGTACCACAGCCAATGTGCAACGGCGGGCAGAGGTATTGAGGCGAAGCAGCAGTGAGAATTAATGGTGTAGAGCTGTTTTCTCTTCAACAACCGCATAAAGGATTGGGCACCAAAGAAAAATGGAACGTGGTTCGGGATTAGCCTCGAGGGTTTTGCCTTATTCTGCGAAATGATCACATGTTCCCACATAAGCAACGTTGTACGAAACAGCAGTAGTAATGAGATGTCTTACAAACAAAGAATAAAAAAATGAAAAGCAGTGTGAAAAACAAATTAAAAATGTTTCGTTCTATAGTTTTATCCACGTACTTTCCTATGATTCCCATAGTTTTCTCGTTGGTTCCCTGTCCACTTGTTGGATTTTTGCTTATAATAATAATATTATTATTATTGCCATGAAGCGCGCAATGTTCACAGGCTAGAACACATAATGTATACCTGCTTGGGCATTGTCAAGTCGTCTTTTAAATTAAGCAGGGGTATTAACTACGTGCACTGGGAGAGAATTTGAACAAGCGCTCCGCGCTCTTTGTTGCTATTTGTTGTACAGTATTGAGTGCTGTGAAATGGTGCTTGTGTCATCGTTGCCAGGCTGAATAACATATTCCTCATGTGGCTTCACGTAAGCGCCAAGCATTTAGATAAAATTTAAAACGTCGAATTCCCCAAACGTTATCCACAAGCGATCAAAGTGCTTTGCTTTCTTCGTTGCTTTATCCGTCTAACACAAATAGATAGGTTCATCTTGAACTAGTATCCGGTGATCCCCTCATGGAAAGCGTACAGTAAAATTTGTAACCCTATCCGGTAGTCGTGAGTACCTTCATAACTTATGTTCAAGACTTTGTACTTGGAAGATTTGGGCTAAAGTATGTTTTCAGTTGAAGACATATAACCTCTAGCCAGATAATCGCAGAGGTCAGTTAGATGTAGTAGTTTTGTGAATATACTGTGATACACCATCTCAATCAGGATCGTGATTCGGGTTGAAGTGTAGTTCAATCAATTCGGTCAGTAGAACTACGTCTGAGGCAGATGAATGTAGGTGCTACGCGGATCGGGTGCTTCAGATTGACAACCCTTGTCCCCGCTGACTCGGTGGCGTAGGGGAAGATGTCGCGCTTGACATCTCCAAGGCCTCGCAATGGAGTGTCTGTTAGATCTTCACTTTTTCTCGCTATTCCGAATTAACCACCCACAAATTTCTCCTCAAAAATTCTAGCCCAGGTGAAGAAAAATCAAAATTCCAACAGCCTTGACTACGAAAAACGTGTTAACAAAAAGCTGCCAACGTAGCCAGATAATGTCGCCGAAAATTATACTCTCAACGCTGAGGCAAAAGTACAATTAGCGGGGTGTTTGAAAACGCGCTCGTACGCTCGATCGAGCACCTGATCGACCGCACGGGGTAGACGATTCCCTTCAGCCCAGCTTCCAGTCACCATTACATACTTTCCTTCTTTCTTTTCTTTCGTAGTTCGTGTGTTGCAAGTTCCATAGCCTTTTTCTTTATGTTTTTATCTGATTTCCGGATAGTGCCTGTCCTCAGTATCTGACGAGATCATGCAATGTAATTGGATGATCCAGCGTAAGAAACATTTTGGGCGGGGGAGACGTCTCTTTAAAAGTTTCATGCGACTAGTCTTGCCCTGTCGTGATAAGGGGTGCTTTTCTGTAGAAGCACTGTCACAACTAAGTATCGAATGTTGACATTGCTTCCCTTTCATTTCCGTTCGTTTAAACTGATCACTATTAGTATGTATGTGGCTGTAGGAGAACACGTGAAATGCACTACGTTCAGGATATTCCGACAGATAAAATATTTTTTCTTCTTGCACTTTTAGGGATCATGCAAGTTGGAAACCCGTCCTATGGATGGAATCGACTGCGATTCACTAAAACGTGAAGCACGTTCCTGATTGAGTTTTCTTGTCGAAGTGCATTCACACAATGTGTGCTTCAAAATATACCTCCCGGTGTGTCTGGGTGGTATAGTCACATGAGTTAATTTTAAATTCCCATATATTCGATCGAAACGCTGGTCTACACAATTAACAGTAGTCCGTTTGAATGGGAAGATGAACGGTGAATCGTCTTCCAGGCGAGCAGTATGGGACCAACAAACCGCTAGGCTCTTTGCAGCCGCCAAACAGGGGTAAGACTGCCGCACAGCTGGTTAGCGTTCTCACCGATTAGGCAGTTGAAAATCTTGCGGCAGTATGGTGAAAGCGATCCAACATACTTCGATACCGTGGATCCACTGGGTAATTCTATTGCGCACTGGGCTACCAGAGGAGGGCATGTAAAGGTACTTCGGTATTTGAGCGCCATATGTCCTCGAACGCTTTCCGCAACAAACCTGTGCGGTAAGCAGCCAATTCATGTTGGATCTATCGCTGGAAAGTTCATCTGCGTTGCGTTTTTGGCACACACCTTGGCTGCGTGTGAACAACCCGATGCCCAAGGGCGAACACCGTTGTTACTTGGTAAGTCTTGGCATCTATACTTATGAGCGATAGTGTCCCGGCTGTTTCTGAACGGAGTTACATGTTTTAATGAGGAATAGACCAATTTATTATCGTCATGATCATCACATCGCTACGCATTAACCAGAGGTGTTGGAGACCTGCGCTGCTGTATTGAAATTTATATACATATATATATATAGTAAATTGGAAAAACAAAGCAAAGGTGTTCACGGCCTTTGGGATCTCAATATGTAAGACACCACCCAGGTCAAGCTCTGAGTGAAATTCCATTCCGCTCGACCAATTTATCTTATGGCCTAACCAACTTTTGGTTCATGGAAACACCGGTAGCGTAAACTATGCGCACCAAATTTGTAACTATACTGACTTATGAGATTGCAGATTTCGTACATATGTGGCAACATTTTAGGAAAATAGGCCGGCATGAACCGTTTTGCTGTTTAGGCGAGAATATGCTTTCCCTTTTGTTGCGTGTTCTTCAATACGTTATCCCACCACAATATCTCGTGCTGAGGAACGAATAACGTCAAGTAGGGAGCACTTACTGCTCTGTCCCCTAGCATGTTGGACTGGGTGGTTTATCAGTTAACGATAGACTCTACAAAGTGAGTGGTTGGCAACGCAATCTGATGGTGCGGCCGACTGCATGCTATTCAATCCATTCGAAATTCCATCGCTTTCCAAATCTAATTTTGCTTAAAGTCCGCTAGGTAGTGTTATTATTTTTTGCCACACTCAACTTAACTGGATCCACCATTATTTGGTGACCAACTCTAATAGTTCAGTTGAACCACCAGCCTAAAAGAACTTGAGCCTTAGCTTCGTCAGGCCAATTTAAACATAATCATTAAGAACAACGCTTTTAGACGCCAATGTAAAGTCTGCCTGTACTCGGATCGATAAACTTGGAGCTGCAGACCGTCACAGCAGAGGCAGACTATGAAGGGCTCTATAAAATACTTCCGGTTGTCAAAGCAATGGAGGACCTACAGAAAATCATATTCGTAATTTGGAGCATCTCATAACTGTACATAGCAAGATCACCAGCCTAACTGGTAGGCCTGGATAAAGCGGCAAATACTCAAATGGATTTGTTACATTAGATAAATTGTTGGGGGAAACTGAACGTAGACCATGAGAAGCGTTTGTTATTTTAAATGAATATTAGATAAAGGCAGAAGGTGTTCGTAGTATTGCGTACGTGGTAACAAGATTACCCACCTCAAAGGCAAAACTACTAAATATTATCAAATTTCACCAACCAGAGAGCGGAATGTTGCATCAGCGGAAAGTGTCACATTAATAGCCCTAAAGGAAGATCCGAGCGTCATTGTGGCGAAAGTCGAAAACAGCAAGGTCACGATGAGAATGAACAGGTCTGATTATTTGTAAAATGTTAGCACCATCTAGTAACGGAGCCATATAATGTGATTGGTAATACGACCGTCATGTTAGTGGTAAATAAAATGTCGGTAATTACTTAGGAAATGTGAAAGATGATTTAGGGCTAGATACATGCTGCTAGCCTTACCAGAAAGCAGCTCATCCACCTGGAATGTATGGTTTATCAAAGACAGTTAGGCCTGACGTACCCATTACACCTATTGTAGGTACTAACATACTTCTAGATGTGAACTAGCAAAATAGCCGGCTACTCAATTGCGTTTTTGACAGGACAAACAAATAAGTTCGTAAAGAGCTCTATTGATTTCCCACAAACAGCGGAAACTCTTGCTGTCGATTCAAAAGATATGCTGGTCAGTTTTGTCGTTAGTTCCCTTTTCACCAACTTGTAAAACAACGCCGCGTTGGTTCTAGCGAGTAACTGTTCGACTGAGGAAAATTACCTTGGAATGGGAACAAGGCTTACTGTAGATTGAATCATTAAAGGGATTACATTGTGCTCTGACATGTCATGTTATACGTTGCAATGGAGTATCCACAGTCACAAACAGGATTTACCAATGGACGGACGGTTCTGAAAATTTGGTTGAGTTACGTTGATGACACATTTGTGATCATCAAACTAGATAACGAAGATGGGTTTCCAAATCACTTCGGCTTGGACAACCGGGTAGTATCTCGCCCTCTGACGAAACCATGGATTTTGATGTGTTGTGTTGTGTTTTCTTTTACTATTTCTGTACCTTGTTTTGAGTTCCATGGTTTCCGATGGCTTAATGTCTATTCATAGACTGTTGCAATATATATATATATATATATATATATATATATATATATATTACTGAAACAGGAAAGTTTACGTGCGAACTGGAGCATGTAACCGCACATTGATATTATTTGACTGCTTAGTTCATGGGAATGGGGACAGCCTGAAAACAGCGTTGTTTCGTAACCAGACGGACACAGATGGGTTACTCAAATACAGTTCAGGTCACCCAAAGCATATGTATGCGTGGATTACCCCAGTTCCATTTCATCTTCCTTAAATCGTATACACAGAGGAAGCGGTCAGGAAGGGTGCTCGGGATAAGATAATGAACCACCAGCTGGACAGTGAATATCAGAGATGAGTGGTGAAATGTCCGTTGGATCAGCCTATAATCTCACATCCAAGGCGTACCACGGAGTGGATTGGGACGGGAGGAATTTCTCAAATAGAAAGAATTTCAGAGGCCATCCTGATGGCACTAAACAAGGAAAAATTATGGGTGGTTTTCCAGATGGGTCAAGCGCTCCGTCCACCAATGGTACATTTAAAGGACTCAGTTCTCGTAGACAAGATAGTTAATTGCATTTATAACTACAGGGGTGTGCGCACGGATACTTAGACCAAACCACAAGAGAGCTGTGCGTAACCTAAGTAGAATACAGTCCAACCCGCTTTATTTCCCACCCGGCTTATAGCCCACCTCGCTTTATTGCCCAGTTTTTCAAAGTACAAATTCTTTTCTCATAAATAGGCTAAATTTCCACCGTCTCATTGCCCGTTACACGGGGTCGTCCCACCGCTTAATTGCCCAGCTGCGTGGGCTGTGCTCTTGTCACTTTCTCAATTTTGTGCTCACTCTGAATATTTTATTTAAATTATTCTACAGTTGGCCAGTCCGATCGAGTCAATAACAACAAAGATGTCGGCGGCATTATTGACAGATCAGAAAAGGTTACCCAGGTCATTCAATACAGGAGCAGGCTAAATGTACAGACGGTTGTGGGCACGTCCTCGGCCCTATTCAAACCTCGAGAACTAAGCAAAGTCGGGTAAAGTTTCCGCTCCATATTTGTCAACGATTTGGCGGCGTCCGTATCCGGATTTGCCTGTCACTGTGATATCCATGAAGAGAGTCACAGTACGCCTGCGCCTACAAAGGGGACCATGGGTGGCTTGCGCTGCACCACCCATAGTTCCACCCACACACCCCATATCCAGTGTAAACCCGAAGGAATAAGACCAGGAGGCATGTGAATGGGAGCCACGTTTCATCAACGGAGCCGGCCCACACTCCTTCAACAAGCAGAACGGAAGCATTCCGACCTAATTGGGAAATCATACACACCAGACGTACACGAGGCGGTGGCTGGACCATAGCCCCTTCTACACAGGTTGCATGGAACCACTCTTTGAGCCTAGCACCGTCACGAGGACGGTGCACTCCGTCCCCTCCAGCGACGACCAACTGTCTCCTGGAGCCAGTATGGACGAGGTAGTGGGTAATAGACAGGTAGGCACCTTGTCAACATTCACATCAAGCGCATCCACACCGGGGAGCTAAGGCAACATCTACTTCTGAAATGCAAGGTTACTCATCACGCAGGCAGACGTATCACATACGCCGCCTTATTGGTCTGGATTAGTAAATTGAATGGGAACATACTCATGGTGCTTCTATTCCGCATACAATTGTGCCTTCTCCGGCACCTGAGAAACCGCCATTTTGAGCAGTCCACGGAATTCGCATCTACCAAATTTGCCTTGGATTCGCAGCACCTGAAATCATGAGTTTGTCATAAACTCACCTTCTTCTTGTTCTGGTAATGTTATTTTCGGTTTGCTCGAATGTCGTTTTACTGCACTACGTTAACCGTACAAAAGCGGTAAGAAGATCCTCTCGTGGAATTTATTCGGTATACATATAGTTACATAGATTTGCGTCCTCTGTGTCCAATGGCAGTTCGAATACAACATATGTACATGCGTTTATCCAAACTTAAGTGTGAGCTGTCACAAACTGGATAGAGACACATTAGACATCATCATCAATGGTACGACAAACATGTATGGGTTTCGTTTGGAGGTCAGGCTAACAACCACTTTCGCAGGCATGAGAATAACTACCCAATACGAACTGTTGATGTTTTCTTCAACATTTAGACGTGACAGCCTTACATCTTGGGCATCCATATTTGAAGGTACCCGATATAGCAATAGTGCTGCTAGGTAGAATGATGACTAGAGTACTGGTACAGTGAAATAGTGTGCACTTTGGTGTTGCCTTCTACATGTACAGTCTGGTTTGAGTAATTGATGGGGGAGATCACATAACATGCGAATGCGATACAGTGTCCACTTCTGGCTCTCTGTGTCTGCGACCGTTTCGGTCATGTGCTGCCCGAGGTATGTGCACCGACTTAAAGAACGATTGATGCGCAACCTTTGGTATTGACAAGTGACATCAACTAAGTCCCGCTGCCCACTGTCAAACATGCGACTTTCCAAACAGTGTTCGCATTGATTGTGCAAATGTCCAAGTAATCAACCGTTTGTACCTACCGACCTGTACTCTACTGTGGCCAGAAGCTATTTGTTGTTAACGGTCTATCTCGTACTTTTCGGGTGCAGCCATTCGGTGCTCATAAAACCATTGTCAAAACCATTTGTCAATACCCTAGTGGTTAAACACAACTACGCCAAGTAACAGAAAGGATTTGACTTTGCCAAAAAGTCGGACGTTTTGGACAAATTAAAACACTTCCACCAGTAACTTCGCAGGTCAAAATATGGCGTGATTTACACATTTCTCGTTCTACCCCAGCCAGGTTCATTGTCAGTGAAAAGGAACTCCGGCAATATTTGTCGCATGGTACTGCAAGCTCCCAGAAAAGGAAGCAACGTGGAAAGGATGAAGAAGTTGTAACTGCGTTGAAAGACTGAACGATCTCTGTTCGTGAGCACAACCAAACAGTTACGGGCCCGCTACTGAAGAAAAAAGCAGACGAATTCGGGGAAGGGTTTGGGAAATCCTGTGCTACCACAGAAGGACAGTCACGAAGTTGGAAGAATAGAACTCAAATTGTGTATAAAGGTGCACATGACGAAAAGTGTTCCGCGGAAAGAACAATCTGTGAACATTGGCTGAAAGGTCGACTACCTGAACATTTAAATGCTTTTTATGATGACAACACATACAGCGCAGACGAAACAGGTCTTTTTTTACCGAGCAACTCCAAAATGCTCTTTGTGTTTTGCTGCCGACAAGCCCTGTACATCGAACCATCCATGGATAGGATCACTTTTCTGTGCTGTGAGGAAATATCTGGCACGGATAAAAGAAATATAGTATTGATATAAAAAGTAAGAAACCACGAAGTTTTAATGGTTTGAAGGTAATTACACTTCCTGTAACTTACAAACAAAAATGCGTGGATGTCGAAAGAACTTTTTACAGAGTGGGTCCTCGAATGAGACCAGGAGCTAAGCCAATATGGCCGAAAATGTATGTTGCTCTTGGATAATTGCATAGCGCATCCACAGGTAGAAGGACTGAAAGATATTCAAACGGAATTTTCGCAGACAAACAAGGCCAGCATTCTTCAACCTATGGACCAAAGTATGATTATGAGTCTGCGAACCCGTTACAGAAAGAACATTGGGCACCGAATTCCTTCTCACCTAGAAAACAACGTGTTATCTGGCTCATTATCGGCGGTGGAGATTAACGCCAAGATTTCTGTGCGCAATGCAATGAAATTTCTTTCAAAAAGTTGGAGACAGGTTACCGGTACAAAAATAAATGCATGCTTTTGGCATGCTGGCTTCAGTCGACTGGAATCCGACGCATCTTCCGATGACGTCGTCATCCCTAAAGACGAGATCAGCGATTTCACAATCCAGTCATCAACGCAGAAGAGTTCCTCGCCATTGACAACGTTGAATGTACCTCAGATCTGACAACTGTTGACGATGAAATCGTCAGTAGAATCTTAGGGAACCGACTAGAACATAAAGAAGGCAGCGACTCAGAGGATCATGGGCCGGACGCCTCCGTGAGTAACTGTAATCAGCGCGTGTCGCATTCAAGAGCAAATAACTGAGGGATCTGTGTAGCTACGGACTTTTGCATGGGCAAGGCAACGATTTCTTAAATCATTTGGACTTCATCAGATCAAAAGTGACTGGGGTATCTGCACGAAATAATGTACAACTGACGTTGAATTGTTCTCTCAGCAAAAATATACAGTAGCGCCAGTTTCTATAGCTATCCCGGGAACATATGTTATAACTATTAAATTATAGGTCATGCTCTTCTGAATAAACGTCTTTTATAGGCTTTAGTGAAAAATACAATTCAAGTGATTTACTGTAAAATAATTCAATGGTTATTTCCCTTTTGGGAAAGATTGCAGTATCGGTTGATTGCCCACCCCACTTTATTGCCCGCTTGTGAGATATCCCGATGGTATACAATAAAGCGGGTTCGACTGTATATGAGATGCATGTTACATCCGCCGAGAAACGAATTTGCGAACATGGCTCTACTGAGGGAATTTGACAGCAACGACACGCGCTTGGTGCAGGACAATGGAACAATGGTACAATGGAACAATGGTATATGACGGGTAAAAAAGCATACACTTAACGAGTCCCGCAGGTTGGCAATAGAAATACTAACAAATTGGCAAACCACATAAGTGGTTGAAGTAAGGAGTGTCAGTGAGATAAAAGGTAGAAGTATAAAAGTTTTAGGGGGATAAAGTGGTACGACGCAAAACTGGCTAAGAAATTGTTATCGTTGGTGATGGTAGCAAATAAAAATGGAGTACTCACCGGTTCGCACAGATTTACGACCGTGAATTTGGGGTATAACTCCAAAGAGGCTGGTCAGCCTAAATATATACAAGCGTTTTCGTTCATAAAACAAAGCGCAGGGCGCTCAGTGCGACGTCCAATCGTTTTTTAAACGTATCTAATGTGGGGGCACAAACAACTGAGTTTGGAAGGGCGTTCCAGGGCCCGCAGACCCGGAGGGAGAAATAGGTTCTCCGACAGTCTAGACGACTGTACTGTTGGCTCAGCTTTAAACTGTTACCGCGAAGGTTAGTGTTCGGACTGAGCTTCAAGAGGTGGCGGCATACGTGACTGGGATCGCTCAATATCTGGTACACTAGTATGAGGTCTCCACGAAGTCGCCGGTACCGTCCGCTGAACACTCCGAGTATCTCCAGTCGTTCCTGGTAAGGAGTGTGGCGCAACCCCTTGACGATTTTCGTTGCTCGACGCTGTGGGGTCTCAAGCGCTGCAAGGTCACGTTTTAGCCAGGGTTGCCAGGCCTGGATTGCATATTCGACGTGAGGACGCACGTAGGCATTCAGCATCAAAGAGAAGATGGATGGATCCAAAATTCCGAATGCTCTTCGCAGGAGTCCAACGTGCTGGTTGCCCCTTTTAGAAGCGGAATCTGACTGTTTGGAACACCCGAGGTCTTCCTGTACCAGCACACTCAAGTCGCGTTCCTGAGTGGTGGTCTTCAGATCGTGTGCCCCAAGCTTGTAGACGTGGACTTGTTGATGGCGGATATGAACAACGCGACATTTGTTCACATTAAACGGCAGGGCGTTTCTCACCGACCAATTCCAGGCCTCATTCAAGTCACGCTGTAGGACTTCATGGTCGTCCGATCGTTTTATCGCCCGCCAAACCTTGAGGTCGTCCGCGAAGAGTAAGAATTTCGACGTAATAACTCTTACTAGATCGTTAATGAAAAGCAGGAACAAACGAGGCCCAAGTACCGAACCCTGCGGTACGCCGCATCCCACTCGAATCGGATCGGAAAAGGATGATCGAACTCTAACTTCTAACTGCCGTTCAGAGAGAAAGTTACCGATCCATCCTAACAACGGGTCTCCGATACCGTACTGTTGGAGTTTAATGAGCAGGATTCGATGATCCAGGCGATCGAAGGCTTTCGAAAAGTCCAAGAATGCAACATCGACTCCTGTTCCCTCATCGACAGTCTCGGTCCAGTTGTCACGAGCTATCAGCAGATTCGTCGTACATGAACGATGTTGACGAAACCCATGCTGTTCTGGCGCAATTATGCCGTAGTTTTCCAAGTATCCCATTAACGCATCTGCTATCACCGCTTCCATGACTTTGGCGATCACAGGCAGAAGCGTTACGGGGCGGTAATTGGCAGGATCCGATCGACTTCCTGCTTTGTATATGGGCGTTATTACACCTTGTTTCCACCTCGAAGGTACGATGTTCTCATAGAAACAGCGCTGAAAAAATGCAGCTAGTGGTTCGGCCAAGTGGATGGCAGCTACCTGTAATGTTTTCGGGTGAATGTTATCGGCCCCGGGAGAGCTGTGTGGACGCAAGGATAGCAGCTTTTGCAGCACCGTTTCTGCAGTGAACGTGACGTTGGATAAAACGGACGGTGGGGTAACTAGTGGCGGAATATACGTCGAGGCTTGTACACCTTGGAAGATTGGGGAGTACTGGGCCCGTAATGCGTTGGCCGCCTCTTTCGCAGTATGTGTATACCCATTGGTCGTATTAACTGGTGGGATTCCCCGTTGCACCTTGCGAAGTCCATTCACATGTTTGTAAAGAAGCTTTTTGTTCGAACAGAATCGTTTGGCTAGCTCCTGCTGATGCGTTCGGTAGCACTTTATTAGTCCTACTATTAAACTGACGATTGCTGAGCAAATTTATAGCGTATTCGATGGGCTGACACTATATTCAAACAACCGGATAGCGTAAGGCAAGCGCAAAAGGACAGGTTAAAATGAGCGAGATAGTTAACTGCCGAAACACACAAGCTCGCTACGCTGAAGAGCATCCAAATAATACTAGCTAGGGAGAGGAAAGAAAGAATGTTCCGGGGCGTCCAGGACACGGTTTGGGCAGCTTTCCGAATGTAACAATGAGCAATGAATTTATACGGGTTAAGAAGCAATGCTTTAGCTGCCCCCGTTGGGTGATTTTGCAGGGTTATCGAAAAATAAAATGGCATTGGGTTAGTTACGTTTAAAAGAGGGACTTGTCGTTTGTTTCACTGTAGCCCTGCGATCCGTTTACTTTCACAGCATAAAAATGTGACAGCAAATAAATTAAAAGTGTATTCCAGGAGTGGGATAGAGATGTAAAACTAAGTAACAAAGTGTAGGTGAATGAGTCATTCAAACGTCTTTTAAATATGGGACGTGCTGGTGCAGAACTAATCGATTCTGGAAGAGCATTCCATCGGCGACAAACGGACGGAAAAGAAATTCCTGCGTGTACGTAAACGGAAGTGGTCAGCACGTGACAGACAAACTGTTCAATTTTCATGGGACCATAATGAAATCATAAGTTTGTGGTATTGTATACATCTTACAGGGAAATCTTTAGGTCGTAACCAGCCTTCCTCCTAAAAGTGAGCCGTGGGGGACCAGTCGAACAATGTGAGGACCATCCGTCTCCTCCCAGCATTCTACGACACTAGGTGGTGAGAACTGATTTAATCGTTGGTGGAATACCAGTGCGATCGGATCCTAGCAAACTCCGACCGTGTCCTCCCTACTAATACCGAGAAAGGAGAAGAAGGTAGTTTTCGATCACTGCGTTTGGTCAAGTGATGTCCTGTAATATTCATGAGTTCGACGGTAGGGGATATGCAAACGAAGTACAGGCGGCAAGTCAAGCACGAGTAACTGACCAGCGGAAACGAACAAAAATGGGACAATGGAAACTGGTGTGTTAGGGGTAAAAAAGCAAATGATTCACAAATCCCGCAAGATGGACAGAAAGAAAATAACAAACAGGTGGAAAAACTGCAATGATAAAATGAAAAATGTTTTGGTGGACTCACCAGTGTTCCCCTAGAAGGATGGAGAAAAGAGCCGTTTTTATTATGTAGGTTACTGTTTCTCGGTAGTGCAACCTTTGTA